AATGACATTCTACGGATTATTGGCAAAAACTGCATTTTTTTCTGTCTGAAATTTAAATTCTGATGGGCATAAATTGAATTAAAGCTTGACGTATTGGCTATTTCTTCATTTGTTGTTAATATGATTCGATTCTCCGCTCTAATACGACATTTTATACCAAGTATTCTAGCCTTCTTTGGTATGTGGAATTTATTTCAATTTTATTTAGATTTAATATTAATTGAATGAATCTTGATTTCATTTGAAATTTGATTTTTTTTTCTAGAATAGCACAATCTTATAAGAAATAGCGACGTTCAGCATAATAAAAAGCAATACACGTTTCTTCCCTGTGTTTTCCATCTAGAAATACATGTTTGGAATTTTATTTATGCTACTTGAATTTAATCCACACACATATTCCATACCTATTTCGGTCAGGAATGTTAAAATCCGAACCCGATTCTCTGTTTTCCTTTTCTATAATTACAAACTGCCTTGCATCTCTCGCTCATGTTTCTCACATGCTCTTAAATAATTTATCGCCATTCATTTCAAACATAAAACAACTCAAATCGGATTTGTTTCAAACATCTCTTTAATACATGAATAATGCACATATGATGCAGGTACACATGGGACATTTCACGACGTTTTCACTTACGCTTCCGTCTTGATGCGCAGATCAAATGCATGTTATTCATATTAATAGGTATATCATAATTTTAATCAGACCCTACCCCTTACATCTTTACTTGAAAACAATCTAATTCAAGCTCATACATACACATAGGAGCGTGTTACAATGTTTTTTTCGCGCTCTCTTTGCGTGATCAATGAAATCATGGTTGTCCCCGAGTCGACTCGTATAATCCAGGAAGTCTGTTTAGAGTATATTTATACCAACTGCGAGCCCGATCTAAAATCCTAGTACAGAAATGAGAATTTTGCTGTTTTATTTATTTTCTTGCTTTTTTTCTACTTTTTTCCAGCCCAAATGATATTGAAATACATAAAAAGGTGGAAAGGTCGATAACTGTACAAAACTGAACAACAAGTCTACTAGTTTATTATATGTCTGTCTTTTTTAAAATAGAAAAAAACGTCCTGCATACAGATTTATAGAGGAGAACGGAAGACCTTCTTTGTTGCTGTAGCAACAAGAGTTTCTAGTTGTCATTACTTTTACTGAATCTACCTGTATGTAATCATTACCAAAATCTGATTATTAAAGTCATAGGAATAATTATAAAAATAGTTATATTGACAGTTAGATAAATGTACAAGAATCTTTATATATTTTCAGCTGTCTGAGAACACTGTTTATGACGTCCTGTGGTTTGCCGATCTTTATATGTTACCGGGTCTTAAGAGACAGTGTGCCAACTGCATCAGTAAATTTATCAACTCCAGTAACGTTCTACAAATCCTACGATCAGCGCGACTGTTTAACCAGGCAAGGCTAGAGGACCAGTGTTCCGAATTTATTGCCATCAATCTGGAAAATGTAAGAAATTTTTCCTTTGGATTTTCTATTTATCCTGTATGTTTTGCTTTTTAGCTCACCTGAGCCGAAGGCTCAAGTGAGCTTTTCTGATCACATTTTGTCCGTCGTCCGTCTGTCCGTCCGTCTGTCCGTCTGTCTGTCCGTCTGTAAACTTTTCACATTTTTGACTTCTTCTCAAGAACCACTGGGCCAATTTTGACCAAACTTGGTACAAAGCATCCTTGGGTAAAGGGGAATTTAAATTGTTAAAACGAAGGGACATGTCCCCTCGCAAGGGGAGATAATCAAGAAAAGACAAAAATAGGGTGGGGTCATTAAAAAATCTTCTTCCCAAGAACCACTGGGCCAGTAAAACTGAAACTTATGTGGAAGCATCCTGGTATAGTGTAGATTCTAAATTGTTCAAATCATGACCCCCGGGGGAAGGGCGGGGCCACAATGGGGAATCAAATTTTTATATAGAAATATATAGGAAAAATCTTTGAAAATCTTCTTCTCAAGAACCACTGGGCCAGTAAAGCTGAAACTTATGTGGAAGCATCCTGGGGTAGTGTAGATTCTAAATTGTTCAAATCATGACCCCCGGGGGAAGGGCGGGGCCACAATGGGGAATCAAAGTTTTACATAGAAATATATAGGAAAAATCTTTGAAAATCTTCTTCTCAAGAACCACTGGGCCAGAAAAGCTGAAACTTATATGGAAGCATCCTGGTATAGTGTAGATTCTAAATTGTTCAAATCATGACCCCCGGGGGAAGGGCGGGGCCACAATGGGGAATCAAAGTTTTATATAGAAATATATAGGAAAAATCTTTGAAAATCTTCTTCTCAAGAACCACTGGGCCAGAAAAGCTGAAACTTATATGGAAGCATCCTGGTATAGTGTAGACTCTAAATTATTCAAATCATGACCCCCGGGGGAAGGGCGGGGCCACAATGGGGAATCAAAGTTTTATATAGAAATATATAGGAAAAATCTTTGAAAATCTTCTTCTCAAGAACCAAAGGGCCAGAAAAGCTGAAACTTATGTGGAAGCATCCTGGTATAGTGTAGATTCTAAATTATTCAAATCATGACCCCCGGGGGAAGGGCGGGGCCACAATGGGGAATCAAAGTTTTATATAGAAATATATAGGAAGAATCTTTGAAAATCTTCTTCTCAAGAACCACTGGGCCAGTAAAGCTGAAACTTATGTGGAAGCATCCTGGTATAGTGTTGATTCTAAATTGTTCAAATCATGACCCCCGGGGGAAGGACGGGGCCACAATGGGGAATCAAAGTTTTACATAGAAATATATAGGAAAAATCTTTGAAAATCTTCTTCTCAAGAACCACTGGGCCAGAAAAGCTGAAACTTATATGGAAGCATCCTGGTATAGTGTAGATTCTAAATTGTTCAAATCATGGCCCCCGGGGGAAGGACGGGGCCACAATGGGGAATCAAAGTTTTATATAGAAATATATAGGAAAAATCTTTGAAAATCTTCTTCTCAAGAACCACTGGGCCAGAAAAGCTGAAACTTATATGGAAGCATCCTGGTAAAGTGGAAATTCTAAATTGTTCAAAATCATGACCCCCGGGGGAAGGGCGGGGCCACAATGGGGAATCAAAGTTTTATATAGAAATATATAGGAAAAATCTTTGAAAATCTTCTTCTCAAGAACCGCTGGGCCAGAAAAGCTAAAACTTTTGTGGAAGCATTCTGGGGTAGTGTAAATTCTAAATTGTAGGAATCATGCCCCCCGGGGGAAGGGCGGGCCATTATAGGGAATCAAAGTTTTACATAGAAATATATAGGAAAAATCTTTGAAAATCTTCTTCTCAGGAACCACTGTGCCAAAAAAGCTGAAACATATGCGCCAATGGAAGGATCATGGGGTAGTGTAGATTTCAAAATGTCTAAATTATGATCAGTGGGGTAATGTGGGGATGCATTATGTATAACAAAGGTGAAATCTGGTAAAGAACAGAATGGTCAAAGCTTCTCAGGTGAGCGATGTGGCCCATGGGCCTCTTGTTCACGGTTAATCTAGTAAATGGCATTCACAGATGAATACATTTCATAAGATAGCTGTTAAAAGTGAAATCTTAAATTCATTTTTTCTCAGATCAAGTGAGCTTTTCTGATCACATTTTGTCCGGCGTCCGTCCGTCTGTCTGTCTGTCCGTCTGTCCATCTGTCTGTAAACTTTTCACATTTTCGACTTCTTCTCAAGAACCACTGGACCAATTTCAACCAAACTTGCCACAAAGTATCCTTAGGTGAAGGAGATTCAAATTTGTTCAAATGAAGGGCCAGGCCCTCTTCCAAGGGGAGATAACTATGAATTAGTGAAAAATTAATGGCATTTTTAAAAAATCTTCTTCTCAAGAACCACTGGGCCAGGAAAGATGAAACTCATGTGAAATCATTCTCAGGTAGTGTAGATTCAAGTTTGTTCAAATCATGACCCCCGGGGCAAGGGTGGGGCCAAAATGGCCGACCCAAGTTTTACATAGGAATATATAGGAAAAATCTTTAAAAATCTTCTTCTCCAGAACCACTGGGCCAGGAAAGATGAAACTCATGTGGAATCATCCTCAGGTAGTGCAAATTCAAATTTGTTCAATTCATGACCCCCGTGGCAAGGGTGGGGCCAAAATGGCCACCCAAGTTTTACATAGGAATATGTAGGAAAAATCTTTAAAAATCTTCTTCTCCAGAACCACTAGGCCAGGAAAGATGAAACTCATGTGGAATCATCCTCATATAGTGCAGATTTAAATTTCTTCAAATCATGACCCCCCGGGCAAGGGTGGGGCCAAAATGGCTGACCCTAGTTTTACAAAGGAATATATAAGAAAAATCTATAAAAATCTTCTTCTCCAGAACCACAAGGCCAGGAAAGATGAAACTCAGGTGGAATCATCCTCAGGTAGTGTAGATTCAAGTTTGTTCAAATCATAACCCCCCGGGCAAGGGTGAGGCCAAAATGGCCAACCCAAGTTTTACATAGGAATATATAGGAAAAATCTTTTAAAATCTTCTTCTCAAGAACCACTGGGCCAGGAAAGATGAAACTCATGTGGAATCATCCTCAGGTAGTGCAGATTCAAAATTGTTCAAATTATGACCCCCGGGGCTAGGGTGGGGCCAAAATGGCCGACCCAAGTTTTACATTAGGATATATAGGGAAACCTTTTAAAATCTTCTTTTCAAGTACTTCAAAGCTTAATATGATTAGTGATATTTATATGGAATCATCTTCAGGTAGTGTAGATTCTAGTTTGTTCAAATGATGACTGCCTGGAGGGGGAGGGGAGTAAATTCAAGCCGGATGTGCTCAGGTGAGTGCTGTGGCCCCTGGGCCTCTTGTTAATTCATATGGAGGAGCCAAGACTTGCTTCTGGAGGGCTGGAAATTCATACCTATAATTGGAACTCAAGGTCATTGAGCAGTGGGGGATCTTTTTGGTGCCAGCTCCTACTGGGTGTGTAAAAACATGATGACATTTGGTATGAAGCATCACTAACCCTGGCTATTTTTTTTTAGTTCGTTCACAGAGAGGACTTTTCTCAGCTGGTGAGGGAAGACGCGTCCGAAATCAAAGGGAGACAAGAGACCGACTCCATCGGAATCATTGACGACATCCGCTTCCACATCACTAACTTTGTACAAACCTACAGCGAAATGGAGGAGGCCAACGAACAGTTACGCCTGGTCGACGATCTGCTAGAGGACCTCAATTTGGACGGATAAACACAGTCACGCATGAATGATCAGTATAAACAGGGATGGACTACACTGGAGAACAAGGATTAGGATGGATAACAGTCACGCCAAATATCTCATGTTAAATGATGATGAGTAACTCAGTGAAACATGAATGCTTAGTTATAATTTGGATAGATAAATGTGCAGTCACACATGAATGATCAGTTTGAATTAAGCTGGGTGAATGATCACAGTCATGCTTGAATGCTCAGTCCAGGAGAATTTTGATCACAAAAAATAAACAATATGGTGCATGTAGGGTTTACACATTATGAGTGAAGAACCTAAAAGGGTAAAATAAATAAATGAGAAATAGATAATAACTAGTGCTTGAATATAAACAGACATGTATATACAGTCAAACTTCATTATATTGAAATCAATGATATGGAGATAAATAAGGATTTAGAATATTGAGGTTTAAATAATATAATTTCTTGGACGTCCAAGTCACTTCGACATATCCATGGTATTTGAGATATGGATCATGTTTGAGATGCTGAAGTTCTACTGTATATCTGCATAAGATGTAATAATATAATATACATTAGATGTATATATAAAATGGTAAGATGCTTCCACAGTGCTCGGTATACAGAACAAATCAGGTATATGTCAAGAACCGAATTAAAAGGTGCACGTCTTGTATTAATAAATAAGCTTTTTACCAAATATGTATGTCCATCCTTTAAAGATGTTTAAGTTCTGGTCAAGTTTTGTTTGTTATTGTTGTTTTTTTTCCTACTGAATAATGTTACTTAACTATTTATGATACTTTGTTACCATTGCTGTTATTTGATTTATTAAGACAGTAGACGTGCTATCTATATAGTTATTACCTGTTATTAAAGCTGTTATTGTTATTCTGCTGTTTGATTTTGTTATATTTGATCTGTATCATTTTTTCTTCAATCCTTCAGAATATTTATAAGTGAAGTTTCTGGGCTCCTGGATATGAATCAATCAGTGCTCTAGTATTTTATGACATGTGTGGTGATTTTTTTTTTCTATTTGATGTGCAACTTTCTTTAATAGTTTGTTACATTTCATAAATATCTAATTCTGGGGAAAATGCTTTAGGCATGCCATAGTCTTTCTTTTTTTAAATTCAGTCACAGTGCAGAATGAATGTTGTCAAATTTTGATGTTTTCTGTTCTTAAGTAGATATTTTATATTCTTTAAAAAAAAATTCAATCAGTACTCTTTATTAAATTTTAATCTAATTTAAATAACTTGGACATGAAGTGAAGTATAAGAGGAACATTTTAGTCCACATTATTTTAATAAACCACATTTCTTACAAAATATGCTTACAATGTTCCTATTGTTTTTTGTATTAAATTTTTAATGTGTTTCAACTTTTTTTTCGACGTGTTTTGCATAGTACTTTCTTTCACATAGTGATGGAATTATAATAACTATTAACTGGAACACCAAAAAGAAATGTCTAGGTTTTTTTACCTTCAGTCTGTGTTTGATTATTAAGAGATCTTGTTATTTATAATACCTGTATTTACACCTGTTTTAAGGTGAATGGAACCTTTTGATGTTATTATCTACACATTTATAAAGGTATGAAATAGAGTCATCAGGTTTTTGTTTTTCTTAAATTACCAATGGATATAGCTGAGAGATCTCTATACCGGGAGTTTCTTATTTATCCTGACATATATACACAGGAAATGTACATATACATGTAGACATTTAATATTATTACCCCTGGCGTGTAAATAACAAGAATATTAATATAATTATCTGTGATAAATACATATAGAGAATTAATACTATTACCCCTGACATATATATGCATGTATTGAGAGTTATGTTAATATCCCAGACATATACATGTAGAGAATTAATAATATTTATTCTGGACATGTATATCTCAGGGATGATAAAATATTAATTCTCTACATGTTTATATTAATTCTCGACAGCTATATTATCCCTGACATTAGCTGTGTGCAAAACAGTATAGCGATATGGTTTTATATTATCGGTTGATCATAACACAATAGATCCCATAATGCAAATAATGTGAAATTTATGGCATCCGATTTTTTGCTCATTGTTGGGGAAGATTTTCCCGTCTCCAACATTGGTCAGTCAACTACCCTTCACTCCCTAATTCTGGAGACACATTCCTTAACCAATCTGGATATTACATCGACAACTACCCCTCACTCCCTAATTCTGGAGACACATTCCTTAACCAGTCTGGATATTACATCGACAACTACCCCTCACTTCCTAATTCTGGAGACACATTCCTTAACCTATCTGGATATTACATCGACAACTACCCCTCCCTCCCTAATTCTGGAGACACATTCCTTAACCTATCTGGATATTACATCGACAACTACCCCTCACTCCCTAATTCTGGAGACACATTCCTTAACCAGTCTGGATATTACATCGACAACTACCCCTCACTTCCTAATTCTGGAGACACATTCCTTAACCTATCTGGATATTACATCGACAACTACCCCTCACTCCCTAATTCTGGAGACACATTCCTTAACCTATCTGGATATTTCATTGACAACTACCCCTCACTTCCTAATTCTGGAGACACATTCCTTAACCAATCTGGATATTACATCGACAACTACCCCTCACTCCCTAATTCTGGAGACACATTCCTTAACCAATCTGGATATTACATCGACAACTACCCCTCACTTCCTAGTTCTGGAGACACATTCCTTTACCAATCTGGATATTACATCGACAACTACCCCTCACTCCCTAATTCTGGAGACACATTCCTTTACCAATCTGGATATTTCATTGACAACTACCCCTCACTCCCTAATTCTGGAGACACATTCCTTTACCAATCTGGATATTACATCGACAACTACCCCTCACTTCCTAATTCTGGAGACACATTCCTTTACCAATCTGGATATTTCATTGACAACTACCCCTCACTCCCTAATTCTGGAGACACATTCCTTAACCTATCTGGATATTTCATTGACAACTACCCCTCACTTCCTAATTCTGGAGACACATTCCTTAACCAATCTGGATATTTCATCGACAACTACCCCTCACTCCCTAATTCTGGAGACACATTCCTTTACCAATCTGGATATTACATCGACAACTACCCCTCACTTCCTAATTCTGGAGACACATTCCTTAACCAATCTGGATATTTCATTGACAACTACCCCTCACTCCCTAATTCTGGAGACATATTCCTTAACCTATCTGGATATTTCATTGACAACTACCTCTCACTCCCTAATTCTGGAGACACATTCCTTAACCAATCTGCAGCTGGATATTTCATTGACAACTACCCCTCACTTCCTAATTCTGGAGACACATTCCTTAACCTATCTGGATATTTCATTGACAACTACCCCTCACTCCCTAATTCTGGAGACACATTCCTTAACCAATCTGGATATTTCATTGACAACTACCCCTCACTCCCTAATTCTGGAGACACATTCCTTAACCAATCTGGATATTTCATTGACAACTACCCCTCACTCCCTAATTCTGGAGACACATTCCTTAACCAATCTGGATATTTCATTGACAACTACCCCTCACTCCCTAATTCTGGAGACACATTCCTTAACCTATCTGGATATTTCATCGACAACTACCTCTAACTCCCTAATTCTGGAGACACATTCCTTAACCAATCTGGATATTACATCGACAACTACCCCTCACTTCTTAATTCTGGAGACACATTCCTTTACCAATCTGGATATTACATCGACAACTACCCCTCACTCCCTAATTCTGGAGACACATTCCTTAACCAATCTGGATATTTCATTGACAACTACCCCTCACTTCCTAATTCTGGAGACACATTCCTTAACCTATCTGGATATTACATCGACAACTACCCCTCACTCCCTAATTCTGGAGACACATTCCTTAACCAATCTGGATATTTCATTGACAACTACCTCTCACTCCCTAATTCTGGAGACACATTCCTTAACCTATCTGGATATTACATCGACAACTACCCCTCACTTCCTAATTCTGGAGACACATTCCTTAACCTATCTGGATATTACATTGACAACTACCCCTCACTCCCTAATTCTGGAGACACATTCCTTAACCAATCTGGATATTTCATTGACAACTACCTCTCACTCCCTAATTCTGGAGACACATTCCTTAACCTATCTGGATATTACATCGACAACTACCCCTCACTTCCTAATTCTGGAGATACATTCCTTAACCAATCTGGATATTTCATTAACAACTACCCCTCACTCCCTAATTCTGGAGACACATTCCTTAACCTATCTGGATATTTCATTGACAACTACCTCTCACTCCCTAATTCTGGAGACACATTCCTTAACCAATCTGGATATTCCATCATCATGGACAACTACCCCTCACTTCCTAATTCTGGAGATACATTCCTTAACCAATCTGGATATTACATCGACAACTACCCCTCACTCCCTAATTCTGGAGACACATTCCTTTACCAATCAGAATCTGGATATTTCATTGACAATTTTTTAACCCAGCCCTTCAGTACTTGTCTCTACAAGAGATAAACTCCGTTGATTTGAATTTTTGCAATCCAGCAGCTTTGGACTCTATCCTTTGCGGTTTGTAAAAAAAACGTTAACTGCCCAAGATATAACAGTAAACAGGCGCGGTTCCATAATTTTTTCTAGACCTGAACCCCCCCCCCCCCCCCCTAGATCCGCGCATGATTAAAGCTTCATTCCTTCAAAACTTCATTTTTTTAGTCGGACAATTTCCTCTAATCATTGACTGATTTGGAATACATCGAGGTATCTTTTGATAACTACTTGACACATTAACAGATGGGAAATTCAAGAAGCAACTGGTTACTTTGGATTTCATTCAGACCCCTGACATTAGAGAGATGGACATAGCTGTATCGGACCAATAGGCCTACCCCATCCCTTTCCTTCCTTTTCGGTGAAAACAATGTGAAAACAACGTAACATGGAAAATGTGTGTACACATGTATTTTAAAAAAAATGAGATAAGATTTTTCTTTTTCAAATGCTCTGCGTCTCATTGATGAATGTGTTCACATAACCTAGCTATGGCTGTGGTACTTTTTTAACTTTATATACGGCTGCAGAAATGTAGCTCTCAGAAAAAAAAAAAAAAAAAAAAAAAACTATTGACTTGAGAGAAAACAGCGCACTTTTTTGTGTGCAATACAAAAATGAATAGTTTTTTCACGTGTGGTATTGTAGCTCTCCGGTCAGTCAAAATATTTTTTTCGGAGAGCTACAGTTCTGCAGCTAAACATTACGATGATATTTCTTCACTGAAAGTTTCAGAAATTTTTTATTAATACATGTATTAATTAACAACTTTTTCAATGGTTTTAAAGTAGATCTACGTAGATTTGAAATTATTTTACATTTTACAATTTCCAGAAAAAGCATGTTTAATGTAAGAAAAAAATGTATACTGTATGGCTAAATGTATCTCATGTAGTTTTAGGCAATAAATGAATTTATTATATCAAATCCAGGGACCTATATATACTAAGTATATCCTCCCTGTCAAATCAAAATTTTGCTAATTTTTTTCCCTCAATTAACATGATTAAGTTTCGAGTAATCAGAGCTCCAGATAATTTTTTACCCCAAAGTGTATTTACTCCCTGATTTTCAAATCAATGCAGATTTTGATTTTCAGCAAAATGATTGAAGAGTAATTTGTTTACTAGTATAATGTTTTAACCTTTATTTTGAATTTGAGCTTGTAATCGAAGTATGTGTTTTTGAAGAGGGTCTGGAAAGAACTTCAAAGGTCGGGTTCTGCATTTATTTTTAATAAAATTGCAAATACTAACAAGACTTTTTGCTAAGATTGGGAAGCATTCTTTTCTGACAAGGAAGATTATACAGTAGGTCATGGTACCAGAGAATCAGAGACACCGAAAACTTTTTCTTAAGATATCGTATCAAGAGTACACCAAGAGAAAAGAAACTTCGTCAATATGGCAAGTTGAGAGAGATGAAAAATTGGCTAAGAACTCATAATAAAAAAAAGTTATGCCAAGTGCATAGTGTTCGATCTACATAGAAATTGATTTTTATCTAAATCTCCAATTCTTCCTCCCGAAATGGAGATCGTCGTCGTCATTTCTAGAATATTCCTGGTCACCAAGAGGCTTTTGAATCTGTACTTCGTTTTGAGAAAAATCAAACACTGAGTTAACCTCAATTCGTATCATTAAGTAAGTCGTACCTGTATTTTTCAACTTGTTGTTCGCAGTACTTTCGTGGTGTAATGCGTATCTATGATTGTACGCTCTATTTTAATTTTCAATGCGTATTTTGTAAACTTTAATGCGTATTTCTGCAAATACGCACCTTATCTGGAGCTCTGAGTAATTTTAATTTATAAAAGGGACGCTAAATCTTTTTTTTTTCAAGGATTCATTTTCTCACCTCAGTTTTAATAAATCAATTTATTTATTAACCCCCAAGTGTTTTTGTCCACTCTCTACCGTCCATGTGTATAATGATGATCGGCTCAAATATTCGAGAACGTGTTTCAGAGAGGAACGAACGACAACTCTGCATGGGAGATTAGCTTTCCTGCACATGGTTTTATTTTTTAAATGCAAAATGCCCTTTAGATGGCCCCGATGTAACTGTCGCGCTGTATAATAAGTGATAAATTTTATATTCATTTATCGCTAGAAAGATAGAGAACTAGGCCTAGAAATAATAAAACGTATTTTTGTGTTATGTTTAAAGCCTTTCGTAAAATATGCGTGTATTTTGTTAGGGGTAAATTTTAACAATGTCTTTAAATTTATCGATTACATGTGACTCAACAGGTGAGATAAGATTCAAGATGGCGTCGTGTGTTCAAACAAAACATTTTTCTCAGGTAATTATGTCCGGGTTCATAGTTATTATGGAGGTTTTTACGTGTAATGTAATTGTTATTTAGAGTTACACCGTACTTTTTGATAGTACCTGTCTAGTATTTTACCTATGTGACAAAAGAACTGTAATATGGTGAAAATTTTCTCTTTCAAATCTGTGTTTACTATTTACGATTTTTTTAAAATCATGATCGAGGAATTCCCTGTCTTTTTCTGTGCATGCATTATTAAAACATTAAGAGGTATTTCATGATTTATATATTTTTTTCATGTACTCCTGGACCATACTTTTATTGAGTTTTTTAAAACCCCTGTTGATATGTTATATTAATTTAGACAGGAAGTGGTGTTCAGGTCCAGTACAATCACTAGATTTAGCTACGTAGGTAGAATTACCTACGTAGCTTTATTTACCTACCTCAGGTAGCTTTATTTAGCTATTTCCAGGTAAGTTTTCAAAATTTTTAATTTTATTAAAAAGAGACAAAAAGTCGCAATTAAATGACTACTGATATTTATACTAGGGAGGCTTAAAAAAACAATCCAAAGCAGAGATAGTTTATACATTACTGCGTTTGGACAATTTAGAGCAAAACGTGTAATTCCATTGTTTGGTTAGCTGTCCGTGCAGTGGGGCATGACTGAGTATGATTACTTCACATTGTACTGAATAATTACCGACCTATTATCGTGTTAACCGGAACTGGACTTCTTTGTCATTTCATCCAAGGGGTAACTGTTCTAACTGTCATACATAGCCCCAAAACTTTCAGAAATTTGATTGCAATTGCGCAGAAAAAGACATTTTTCCAAGAGGGAATTTTTCATGAGTTGTTTTCAGATGAGTTCAAAGTTGAAAATGATCACTGCATCAAAATGATATTTTCTGCACACCCTGAGAAAAATGCTTTTAAATAGAAATAAACCAATTTGGTAGCTAAATAAAGCTACCTCAGGTAGGTAAATAAAGCTATGTAGGTAAATCAAGCTACGTAGCTAAATCTAGTGATTGTACCAGACCTGGTGTTATTAAAACATATAGTTTTTATGGACAATTAAATGATCTCAAAATCTGGTTAGATGTATGAGTTTTTTCAAGCTGAATATCATGCATATAGAACACTCTGACACAAGTTGTATAAAATATCCAAATTCAAAAATGTACACTGTATTAATTAGATGTTGATTTAACCTAAAAAATCCAAGGAACTTTCGGAATGTATAATGAAATCAAAACATTTTGCTGAAATCATTAACAGTCAGCTCTAAAAAATAAAAACCTACTACGTTTCAACTTTATCATATGTTTATACACAATCAAATTCCCACTATATTTTATGACCTTCTCAACACTTAAATGTCACCAATGCGAAATATTTTTTTGGACATTGAGAAAAATATATAATTAATGGCTTCAACATGGTCAGTATTGAGATTAAAGGCCTAATTTATTTATTAAATTTTCACTATAAGCATGATACGGGTGGTGCGACCCGGCAATATTGATCCCAGGAAAACTCAACACAGTATCAGTGAATAGAAATCCACGATTGACTGTTGTTTGCCTCCATAGACAAATAACATATTCAAAACTGCAGAAAATTCCACAGAATCAGGGGCCCGTTTTACAAAAGGACTTACGACTTAAGACCATATGCAAGTTTAATTATTCATATAACTTTTTAATTAACATTATACATGTTATATCAAAATTATTTTTAAAATTTTAAAAAGAAT